CTGGAGGACTGAAGTCCAAAATGAGTGTCACTAGGCTGAAATAATGGTGTGGACAGGCTGCATTTCTTCTGGAGTTCTAGGAGAGAAGCTATTCCTTATCTTTTTTGGCTTCTAGAGTTTGACTTCGGCTGGTAGACCTCTTCCATCTTCAAAGCCAGCAATTGCATCCCTCCTACTTCTTCTGTTATTAAGCCTCTGAACTCTCTCTTATAAGGACCCTTGTGATTATTTTGGGCCTATCCAGGTAATACAGGGTCATCTCCCATTCTAAATATCTTAATTTCATTATATCTGCAAAATTCTTTCTGCCATGCGAGGTCAAATATTTAAAAATTTTAAGGATTAGTGCATGGGCATCTTGGAAGGTCATCATTTATTACATAACCTTATATATAACATCATAAGAGTCTGGTGATGAACAGATAGAGCTTTCGGGGTTGTTTGTGTGTGTTGCAAACCAATTTGCCCTTTCTTTTTTCCTGGAAACGTTCTTTGTTCATTTGTAAAATTCTCTGAGCATTTAAAGTGCCAAATATTTTGTTACGTTTTTATTTTAAGAAATTAAGTTGAAAAATATCTAAAAATCTGCATATTTAACAACCTGTATGTTACTCTGTGATTCTGCAATTCTATTTCTAGGTACATTCCCAATAGAAATATGTGCACATGCTTATAAAACATACAACATATTTATAGCAGCATTATTTACAGAAGACTAAAACAGAAAAAATGTCCTCCAACAGTAGAATAGGAAAATACATTGAGATACTTTTATAAAATGAAATTATATATAAAAATAAACATTAAGTTCTATGTCACTACTGTAATAAAACAAATAAAATGTTTAGTCAAGTAAACCAGAGGCAGAATAATTTTATTATATGATCTAACGAATGTAAATTTTTAAAATGTAACTTTTTTGTTCGAATTCAAAGTGGTGGTTATCTCTGAAGATAGTAATGAATTGGAGGGAGCCTCCACAAGCCTTCAGTATTGCTGACAATATTTTATTTCTTGATTTGAAACATGTTTAATGTGTGATAATTCAGCAGTTTGTACAATTCTGATTTATGTAATCTTCTGTATGGATGTTATAATTCATTGAATATAGTTATCAATAGAAGGACAAAGACTAAGATTCGATTAGAACACTATAATATTTCAAATATATAAAAGTATACCCCAAGTATGTTATAGCTGTATTACATCTAAAATAATAAGAATACTAAAAAGATGAAGGTAAAATGATGTGACAACCTAATTCTAATAAATAGAAGTCATAGTCATATTATTATCAGATAAGATAAAGCTTAAGATACAATCATTATTATAAAGTGTGATACCTCATAAAGACAAAATGTTTCATTCACCAGGAAATATAATCATATAAACTTTTACACACCTAAAAATGTAGGCCCAAAATACTTTTAAATGGACATAAATAAGTATAAAAAATATAAAAAATCCATGGTTATATCGAGATATTTTTGCATATCTCCTTCAGAGACAATTTGAACATAACTGTGCCTTGCAAATGTTGAATAGCCATCATGGTAGGCAGAATAATTGTCCCAAAATAATAGTTTCCCCAGAATCTGTAAATATAATATGTTACATTTCAAAAGGGACTTTGGCAGAGAAAAAAAGTTACAGATGTTAAAATACGGAAGTATTTACATTATCCTGCTGGACGTAATCTAATTACATGACTCTTAAAAGAAAATAGCTCACTCCAACTGGAGGCAGAAGGGCCAGAAACAGCAGCAGAGAGGTGAAGCAGAAGGGAAGGACAGAAAGATTAGAAATAGGACTTGGACTGCCATTGCTGACTCTGAAGATGGGGAAAGGGGCATGCAAACCAAGAGTAAAGGTAGCCTCTACAAGCTGAGAATGACTCCAGTTCAATAACCAGCAGGGAAATAGGGATGTTAATCTTATAATTTCGTGGAACTGAATTTCAGCAACAGCCTTATAAGCTTTGAAGTGCTAGTAGACACAGTATAACTCACAGTCTGCAGAAAGCAATTCAGTTCATCTGACACTTTGATTTCAGCCTTATGAAACTCTAAACAGAGAAACAGGTGAACTACATTTTTTCCATACCTATATAGCTGTTAGGTGATATGAGTGTTGTTTACGTTTGTGGTGACTTGGATTAGGAATAAGAAAGTAATACACCTATTCTTTATAAGAAAGTCATGCACAGAATTTTAAAATATATATATCTTACTTGTAAAGCAAATCCTAAATTTCAAAGGATTAAATTCATACACAAAACGTTATCTGAGTATAATGCAGATGAGATAGGCATTGGTAAAAAACTATAACTAGAACTAAACCATATGTTTATAATCTACGAGATATACTTCTAACTAGGTACTAAAGAAGAAACCAAAAAGGAATTTTAAAAAGAGTTTTGTGATGTCCTTTGTAGGATGTAGTTTGTGTAGTAAGAAGGAGAAAATTTAAAATTTTAAATGCTTATGTAGACAAGAGAAAACGCTACGAATCGTGTATGAGTGAAACTTTTAAAGTATACTGATAAAAACACATTGGATAAATTATAAACATCACAAATATCCATTAACAGTAAAATAAGTCGATGAAATGATGTCATACATCTGCAGTTCCCAGAATATGGTCCATGAATCCCTGAGGGTCTTGCAACATTTTCAGAGGTGTCCATATGGTCAAAACCATTTCCATAATATTACTGAGCTATTATTTGCCCTTTTCACTGCAGTGATGTTTGCCCTCAAGGTACAAAAATAATGGTGGGTAAGATTGCTGTTGAATAGCACAACTCAATTAGTAGTCTCAATGTAGCACTAGTAACCATTAGTCATTGTATTCTTTACTGCCACACACTTCCAGTACTCCCTCCCCCCAAAAAAGAAAAGAAAAAAATCCAGTTTTACTTAAGAATGTCCTCATTAAAGCTATAAATATTTATTTCATTACATCTCTACCGTATAGTATTCTTTTTAATTACCAGTGTGATAAAATGGGAAATGTACAAATAGCCTTTCTTACGCCTATCAAAATATGACAGGGTTGTGTCAAAAACAGTTACATGGTTTAGTTTTCAGCTGAACTAGCCACTTTTTTAATGGAATACTTTTTTTCCTTAAAATAATGATTGACAGAAACTATGGTTATTCACACTTGGGTATTAGATATATATTTTCTTGAAATAAAAAAATTATCCTGATATCACTTCAAGAAAAATGACAAATACACTTTATTATCAATGTTAATAGTTGAGCTTTTGAGAAAACATAAAAGTTCAGAAAACCTCAATACACTTCTGTAACTTTACAGCTTCCCCACATTTAATGATTCTCCTGAGAGATCAGCAGCAATAACAACAAACATGACTTTTTTATAATATGTAATGAAATATACCAACATTTTGAGGATCTCTACAACTCAGTAAATCAACTTTTTTCCCCAATGCCCAATGCATAATTTTTTAATACAAAAACATTCATTATAAGGGGAAGGCAAATCAATTAATACTAATGTTACAGAGTACAACATATTACTGATATTTCAAATTCAGCATGGATAATAACCTGTAATGTTTAATATCAAGGTGTATATGCTTTTATTGCAAAATCTACTAAGATACTCCCCCTTATTCCAACTAGACATCCAAGAGAGTCCAAGTGTTTTTCATATCCATCAATTAAAACAATATATTGTAAAATATTGAATAAAGAAGTAGATATGTGAAGTTAGTGCTTTCTACTAAGCCATACATTGAAAGGATTTCCAAAAATACTATGAAATGCATTCTTTCCTTTTTTGTTGTTGGCAAATGTAGTTATTTCTTTGTTAACATATAATGGGTAAAGTGATAAGTGCACACTTTAAAATTAAAAATAAAATAATCAGTAGACACTTTAAAATTAAAAATAAAATAATCAGTACACATTTTAAACTGTCTCAGTTTTAAAGTTGGTGGGCATATTCATAGATTTAGCCCACAAAATTTGGGGAGATTTCTCAATAATTTTTTAGAGTGTAAGGAGACTTGACATAAACTTGAGAATTGTAGCAATGCAGCAATAAAAATATATGGTAGTATCAATATAATTAATTCTACATGTATAATGATGGGCAAAAACTCGCAAGTACATACAAATATCATATATTCTTTGTCTTATGTTTTAATAAGTAAAAATAGTATAACAATAACAAGAGGAAAAGAACATAAAGATACATGACAGAAAAATAAATAATTATGTACTTTCATTACTGTTTAGAAAATTCTATCACATGTGTATAATTTTTCTTATTTTTAATTTTTCTTTTCAGCTTTAGAAAATATGTCAATTATATATTAATTTTATACTATTCAAGCTTGTATCTATATGCAGTAAATTATTAGTAAAATAACTATAGGCAGAAATATCAGGCAATTATTCGTTATGTAATCATATGAAATATTCACAAAAAAGCATGTTTGATATATTTATTTTAATAAAACAGTGGAATTTTGGAATCTGCTAAAACAAAACTCATATGTAAGCATTTCAGTTTCAAGATTTTATAAAATCACATCTCTTTCTTCACTATTAAATTTAAATAAATGCTTCCTGTCTTTATATATGTTCTAAACTATCAGAAAAATAATTATTTTGATAAAAATTTCTTCTAACAGCTCAGTTGTCTGAACCAATGGCATAAAATATGCACAAATACATACTCTCACTATTCATTATTTCTCAAAGTTGAATTAATCAACAATTTTATACAAATTATAGATGTGATTGATATGATAAACAGTAATATACACATGCATCTATGTATATAACTATAATTATATGAACTTACAGTAATTGCTTTTGATGAATTACTTCTAATTAGCATGCCATAAGTACATACCTATGTATTACAGAAAACTTGGGGATTTGATAATATGACTTTCAGTTCTCCCTAAACACTATTAGGTAAAATAAGTATGTCTCTAACAGTTATTTTCATTCTGTTTTTAGGTTAACAGGATTCCATCTGCCACCGCCAGTGACAAGTACCAAGTCTGTGTTCTCACTACGTTTGACCAGTGATTTTGCAGTTAGTGCTCATGGGTTTAAAGTATATTATGAAGGTAAGTAATGGTGATATAAAAGGAACTACTTCCCTTAATGTAGTCCAACAAGAATTTTTCAAGTATGGCAATGGAAGAATAATTAACATGAAAAGAGATACAGCCCATTGTTTTACCTCAAATCTTCTCCCAACATGAAATTTGCCTTCTTGTTAATTATGAATGTACAATAAAATGCTAGAGTTAATGGACTTTAATGTTTCCTATCCCTATGCCTAGACATAGGAAAATCTCTTTCATATATATTCTTAGGAGATGAGACCATGAAATTAGTAAAGGGCTAGGTATTAATAAAAGATAATTGAACGAGAGAGTAAGAGGACACTAGACCTAATTTGTGATTCAGGCATCATAGACTCTACCCTATACTTCCTTGTGCTGTGTGTTGCCACCAGAAAGTAAACTAGTAATTTGTCTTCTCTGAAAGTTAGAGTCAAGAGGGAAAAAAAGTCAAGAAGAGAGAAGCGTTGATATCTTTCATTCCTAAAATAACCTTTCCAGCACCATAGGTCCATGAGCCATAAACCACGAAGAGGAAAACTGAAAACTTTTAAAACTGAAAGTTGTTTCGTTTAGTTTTCCGTGTAAGTTTGGTACAAACTCATTTGGCATCAAAACCAGTACCAAATGACTAGAGATATTTGTGATATTTATTTATCCCAATTCATGTGGATATTCATATATTTTACTACAGAAATATTGTTTTAATATGGAGTGGTCTGTTGGCTCTGCTGAGGCTGTCAAAAATGTAATTCATGTGGATATTCATATATTTTACTACAGAAGTATTGTTTTAATATGGAGTGGTCTGTTGGCTCTGCTGAGGGTGTCAAAAATTTACAGAATCTGCATGCTTTTCTTTTAAAAAAACAATGTACCGGCCAAAATAATTCTGATGAAAAAAATAATTTACTGCTGATAATTTCAGGTAGAAATGCTAGATTTGTATTTTTTTTTACCAATGTGACTGGGCAATAAAATTTCCTTCTAGTTTAGGAAAAAGTCTCTCTCTTAACCATAGGGATATCACGTCAGATTTAAATTCACTTTGCAGGGACCAGTTTACTAGAACTGATCACATCAGGTCTAGGATAATCATCAAGAGATACATAAAAACAGTAGGAGGAGCAGTTATTTTATAAAACACAAAATAATTTAAAATATTATATGTTTAAGGACTATACCAGAAAATAATATATAAAACAAAATTGTTACAGTATAAAGGCTAACATTTTGTATGTGGGGAAAGTTTTAAACTAGACATTATTTCATATGTTTCATATGTTGCTATATTTCTCACTAGAAAACAAATCCTCTAGCAAATAACTGAGAAAAAATACTTTATCTGTTTTATGGCCTAAATAATGTCACAAGCAGCAGTTTTGAACACTGTTTTTTACTTAATACCTTTCTGAACTGTCTTTTGTCTAGCAAAGGAGGATGAATTCCAAGACTTACTTTCCTCCATTGTGATAGTAATGATCATTATTTCTCTAAGGAGCTTTCACAATAGGTGAACATATTTTATCTTGGCAACTTAATTCATAGTTTAAAACACTACAACCACAAAGCCTTAATTTTAAGGTGTAATTTTGGCAACATTGAAGAAAGTTAGTAATGCAATAATTTTCCACTAAGAACTCTTTGATAGAAAACCTGTATTCTGTTCATCAAAATACAAAGATATTTTTAGGTTAGCTTATTCTTGCAGTAAGTACTAAGTATCTTGAAAATGTACTTATGAATTATGATGTTGGCATGCTTTTGGTTTGTCTGTTAGGTTTTAGGTATCCATACTCAAAAATATTTTCACAACTCCCCATTGTTTCTACGTATACAACATTAAATTTCTGTCCATCGTTTTTGCCTTAGGGAAAATGAATTTTTATATTTTATGTCATTGTATTGTGTGCTTGGGATGTCCTGACTTAAAATATAGGATTTTAGGCACTCAGATTGTGCAGAAGAATTGGTTATCATAGTGTAGAATCTTCAGATATTGAATTAGGATATGTAACTTTTACCGTACATTTTAGTTTTCAATTTAACAGCATTAACCACAAAAAAATACGTATTACCTCACAGTTCTGTGGGTGAAAAGTTCTGGTAGTTTCTGCTGGTTTCTCTGCTCAGTGTCTCACAAAGTTAAAATAAAAATGTCACTGGATTGGGTTCTTATTCAAAAGCTTTGGGAAAAATCAACTCTTGGGCTTATTCCGGTTGTGCCATGATCCAGTTCCTCAGGGTTGTAAGACTGAGTCCTCTGTTTCCTTGCTGGCTATCAGCTGGGGACTGCCCATTTATTCTATGGGTTTCTCTTCTCTCTATACAGAGATTCTATAGCTTAGAGTCACCAGCTGTTGCTTTGAATCCTTCCTACACTGGGAATCTGTCTAATTTCCCCTTCTGATGCATCTATCTGCTATTTTCTTCCTCCACACATCTCTGACACAAAGTGAAGAAATTTCTCAGTTTTTAAAGTCCACGTAACTGGCTGGAGTCCATCTAGATAATAGAGGTCAAAATTCTTATCTTAAAATCCTTGACCTTAATTATATCTGCAAATCATTTTTGCCATGTAACATGACATATGCATTAGTTTCAGAGATATATTTTTGGGAGATGGAGGGTCATTATTTGGCCTACTGCATCATGTGCAAGTCTATATAACATGTTCTGGAGGGAGTAGCTGCAAGCATTTGTTTATTTAATGGTAGCCAATGATACTGTTGGGACCAACTTGTGAAGTTCAGAAAACTTAGCTTGAAATTTCAAAGCCTGTCTATCGCACAACACTCTCCTACATTTTGAATCAAGGTTTTTGTTCCACAATTACCTCAAATTACAACTCTAGACCTTATGCATGCATGCTATAGTAAAATTGATCTACTAATTTGCAAATCTTCTAAAAATGTATACCTATATTTTTAACAATATTTTCAAGATATTAATGTCTGAATCTATTTCTTTTCATTTTATCTTCCTCTATACAATCATTTAATAGTTATTTTGTACAGCTTTTAAACTTTCCTAAGATTTTGCTTGTGTCTGTTAGAATTTATGGGATCTCTGCTTGTTTGTTTGTTTTTGTTTGTTTAGATTAGAAAATATAGTATATTTAGAAAGAGAGAGAGAAAGAAAGAGGAGATTCACCTCCCTAAGGTAGGAAAGGTAGCCAAAGCTAGGAAGCATGGGAACAGTCATAGCTCAAAGAGCACATGGCCACACCAGATTCTAGTAAGGCAATGGCAGCAATAGTCTGGCAATGGCCGGGATCTCTGTTTGTTGCTGATGTTAAGCATTGATCTGTATTTCTCAAATTGTCAACACTGGACCACATACATCAGATTTATCTGGAGAATATATGAAAATCTAGAATTCTTGGTCCTCTTATAAACCCTGAATCAAACTCTGCAGTGTAGCCTTAGAATATACATTATATGCCGGGCTCGGTGGCTCAGCCTGTAATCCCGCGCCTGTGGGAGGCTGAGGTGAGTGGATTGCCTGAGCCTGCGGGTTCAAGACTCGCCCGGGCAACTTGGCAAGACCTCATCTGCACAATAAAACAAAAATTAGCCAGGTGTGGTAGCGTGTGCCTGTAGTTCTGGCTACTTGGAAGGCTGAGGCGGAAGGATCACCGGGGCCCAGCAGGTCGAGGCTGCGGTGGCCGGGAGCGGCCACTGCACTCCAGTCTGGGCGACAGAGTGAGACTCCAACTCAAAAAAAAAAAAAAAAAGAATATACATTATATTTAAGATATATATATCTTATTATATATAATATATAATATGCATTATATAAGAGACCCCTGATTCTTATGCCTGATATCAGTTATATCTTTCTTTCTCTCCCTGGAAGAGACTAAATCATACCAAATAAATTTGTTGTACAAATAAAATACTAACAAATATACTGGGTGAATCAGTATCACTATAAAGATACTTATCCTGGACAATATACTTAATGTATCTAAACCTCATTTTCCTCATCTGTAAAAATGAGGTAGTAATTCTCCCTACTTCATAGTCTTATGAGAAATAAAATAACAGAGAGCGAGTCCTCAGAATAGGATCTGATACATAATAAGCATTTCATAAACATTTGTTACAATATTGATAAAATCATGATTAACAGAGTACTTTATGCATAAGCATTTCAACTCTATGGGGAAATATAGCATATTTATCCAAATTTCTGTAATGGAGTTAATGTTCTTTTTTAAAAGAGACTATTTATTTTGATGACCAGTTCTTTCAGCAAGAGTTAATAAAGTAATCACACATTCTCTTCCTACCTTATGTCCCCATGTGTGTCTGCTTGTGTATGTGTCTGCAAGAGATTAATAACTTAAATGTTTCATATATTTCACATATATATATTAAATCATTATGAAGTGACAAAGGTGATTAAGCTAATGGACAAACATACATCAGTCTCAGCTAAAGTGGTCTGCTGTAATTACTATGAGGTTTTCATTTTCAAGAAAATGCCATAGATTGCAATTGCTTCACTTGCAGAGGAGAATGTATAGTAAAATAACATGTATTTACTCATTCAGCATTTTTCTTTTCTTTTCTTTTTTTTTTTTTTTTTTTTTTGAGTTGGAGTCTCACTCTGTTGCCCAGACTGGAGTGCAGGGGCCGCTCCCGGCCACCGCAGCCTCGCATGCTGGGCTCCGGCGATCCTTCCACCTCAGCCTTCCGAGTAGCTGGAATTACAGGCATGCACTACCACACCCAGCTGATCTTTTGATTTATTGTAGAGATGAGGTCTCACCAAGTTGCCCAGGCGGGTCTCGAACCCGTGGGCTTAGGCAATCCACTCACCTCAGCCTCCCAAAGGCGCGGGATTACAGGCTGAGCCACCGAGCCTGGCTACACTCAGCATTTTTCAAACTATAATAAAAGACCAATACAGGGGTGCAAAAAATTATGTATACACATTTTAAGCAATGTTATCTATGTATTACTTTTTGAAGAACTGAATTTCAGTAGCAATGT